TATCCTGCAAAGGCAGCTTGCTGCCTGCCTGTTGCAAGCAGCTAGCAGGCAACTTGCCTGCAACAGCTTGCAGTGAACGTGGCTTATATACGGCTTTTGTCACCTATTTTGATTCCCAAGCAAAATAGCTATATATGGGTTTCAAATACTTCTAGAAATCCCACGCGAAATAAAACTTGTGTAAGGTGAAATTTAGATTTTTACTTAGTGGTCGATTTCATTCTACTTCCCTTCGCGACCCCAATTCCTTCTACAGTGCGACTTGTTGACGTCAAAAGTTAATAAGGGACTTTGGTAAAACTGTGTAAACTTGAAATTCATTGAATTTGTGCTCAAAAAGTCACATGGATGATAAGCTCGGTCATCCAAAATGAAGACGTGACTATTTTGACTTTGAAAGTCCAATTATGACTTGCTGCCAGTCAAAATTCAATGAGTTTTGATAAGATGAGAATAGCCAGTTCACAAAGTTGGTGTCATTTNTTTCTTTTTCTTTTTTTCTTTTTTTGATATTCTGGTATCCTAGTTTACACCAGTTCTCAAAGTTGGTGTCATTTCTTGGATTGCGATGGTCTTGTTGCTTAAATGCCATGCTGATTTTGTATGTAATTGAGTCGAGGTCTTTTATTTGACAATGGAACCTTACTAAACTACCTAGTTTGAGTCTAAGGTCCTGTCTATTGCATTCTCTTGGTTTGAGTTTAGACTTTGTAGCCCGGCAACATTTGGTTTGGTAATCAATTTGACATGACACAAGCTTGTAGTAGCAACCCTTTTAGTGTCCGTTTGAATGGATTAAATTTCATGAAAAATGTCACATTTGAAGAATTCAATTTTTGCTTTAACTATTTGATACGAAAGTAGAAATGAAGTTCGATTTCCAACGTACAACCACTTTAAGTTTTTTTTTTTTTTTTGTCAATTTTATGGAAAATGCATTCATATAGGGTACTTGAATTTTTATTTTCTAACTTACATGGAATTAGAAAGGCTTTCCACATTTGCCAATCTAACGAACCCTTATTCTCCAAGCTTGATATGCTGAGATGGGGCCCATCCTTGGTCTTTGACTTGGTAGTCTTTAAGTGGCCAATTGGCATTTTGGTCCTCCATTGTAATTTTCTTAACAAACAAGTTGCTAAACACTTTTTTTTTTGGGAGTCACATCAGGTATCTTTTGACATTTTTCATCCAGAACAGTTGCTTGAATTAATCGAAAGAAATTTTTCTCCATTGTGTTTTACATTTTTCTTATTTATTCTAAATTCTATATTTCTATCAGGTTTCGAAAATCTGATAGATCATTTCTCGTTTGTAAATATTCTTTTGGAAATATAATATTTGGTGATGTTTGGCAAAGAGCAGACATATTAAATAATATCAAAAATAAAAAAGAGATTAAAATCTTATCTGTCATAGTGTCGTGTTGCACGCCTCTCGCCTTTTGCTCTAACTCTATAGGGTCTTTTTTAATTTAATTCTGAAAATGATCTTTAATTTGAATTAAATTTTTAATCCTTAGATACACAAACAATTAATTTATTTACTAGCAATTAGCAAACAAATATGAAAAAGATTTACGAAGCGTCCTCAACTCAAATTTTGATG